TTTCAGATTTCATTAGCCATGCCACAACTATGGCTGGTTGGGAATACATATAGGATATCTTGGTTGAGCCTTAAGAAAGCTACAACATATTCTAGAAATGCTAAAGTAGATGCTAGGGATAAAGATAAGGGCTGACACAGCCACCAACTACTCTAGATAATTATCCTAAGTAGATAAGGACAAGACTTATAGCTGTCAAGAAAGGCCTAAGAGGAAGATACAACCCAACAGCAAGTATCTCGGCCCAAGTTGGACAAAGCCGTAGCCTGGCGTGCGGAGTCGGCAAGTGAGAGACGTTATTTGGGATGGGAGGAAGAAGAAGGGGGGATGAACATGGAACAAAACCGGCTGGCTGCATCCGGAGCGATGGCGAGCGCTGCTCGATGTATCCCCAAACCCACTCAATCTCCGTGTTGAATTCGTTCTAAACCAGTGAATTGCTAAGTAGTGTCGTAACAATTGGTATCGGAGGTCACTCGATCTCGCGGGCGTACGGCGGTGGCGATCTCGTCGTCCTTTTAGCGTTGATCGTGAGGATCCATAGGTCCGTGCTGAGGTCGAGTTGGTCAGCAATCGTTCCCCGAGCGAGCACCCTGATTCCATTGTTTCGCCCTATTTGAGTGTTCTCTGCTTCCAGATCCATCCTGGCGGTAGTCCTAAACTACCTGCTCTGCCCTCAGAATCAAACCCGAGACCAGAAGCGCATCGGCCTGATGGAATCTCAACTCAGTAGCCTAACTCAGATGTTGAAGGAGTTGCATGTGCAGAACTCCTCGATCCAGCGCAAGCTCAACGATAATCTCATGGCAATTCATGATGTTGGCGTGTGGCGACCGTAGATCGATGCCAAGGTTGACGAGCTTCATCACTTCGTCGTCAATCTACAGCAGAAGGTGGACCAGCTCAAGGCTCAACCTCCACCAACCACGGCAGCCTCCCGCATCTACAATGTGGAGAACATCGACCTCACAAAGTCCGTGGCTCCTCGCCAGCATGCAGCTTCTTCTTGGGACACACAACAGCCTATTGGCGCCGGCATCGAAACCAGTAACCAGGGCATTGGCAATAGCGTGGTCACCACCTTCGTGCCTACCCCGGTCAAAGGTGCGAACACCTATCCTCATCCTTATGCTGGTTCATCTGAGTCTTAGTTACACTTTGACATGACCAAAGCTACACCTCAGTTTGAGCTTCCTAAGTTTGATGGTAAAAACCCAAAGCTCTAGCAAAAGCAATGTGAATCCTATTTTGATGTGTATGCCATTCATCCTAACATGTGGGTCAAGCTGGGCATCATGAATTTTGTGGGTTCCGCGGCCTTTTGGTCCCAATTTGTAGAAACCATTCTTCAGCGTGCTACTTGGCCTGAACTTTGTGCCACCATCTGTCAACGCTTTGAGCGAGATTAACAAAGCCACTTAAATCGTCAATTCTTTAGGCTCAAACAAACCTCCATAGTTTCCTCATATATTGAGCAATTTGATGATCTCATCCACCAAATACTTGCCTATGACCCCAACTTCAACCCTCATGTCATCATTAGTTGTTTTATTGATGGGTTGCAAGATAATATTCGATCTGTAGTACTTGTACATTGTCCTACAAGTTTGGATGTTGCTTGCTCCCTTGCTATGTTATAGGAAGAGGTGCTGCTAGATATTCCTTCCAAGGATGGCAAACGACAAGATGGGGGATCATCTACTTGGAGTTCTTATGCAAGACTATCTTATTCACCAATGTCTCTTCCAAGAGCCATGGCTAGGGAAAATTCAACTGGAGCTCAAAAACCTACAGAGCCTTCTAAACCATCAGGGTTGGAAGATAAGCTTCAGAACATCAAATCATATAGAAGGGCCAAAGGATTGTGTTTCAAATGCGGTGATAAGTGGAATCTAGCACATAAATGTTCCACCACTGTAGCTCTAAATCCTATGGAAGAGTTATGGCAACTCTTACCTGAAGAAGAAGAAATCTCACAGAGTGAACCTAACAAGCATACCTCTGATTCAGGTGAAGACTTGATGGAATTGTCTTTGTCTGTTGTGCAAGGTACTGATTGCCATCAGACTATCAGGTTAGCCGACACATTGTATCAGGAATCTGTGGTATTATTAGTGGATTCTGGCAGTACTAGCAGTTTCATCAGTCATACACTGGCCAGTTGTCTTCCTAATTGGACTCCATTGCTTGAACCTGTTCAAATTAGAGTGGCTAATGGCACCCTGTTACAGTGCACTCATGAGTTGTTTAACTATCCAGTGATTATTCAGGGTCATACTTTTTTGGTCAATATGAAGATATTACCCTTGCAATGTTATGACATAATATTTGGCATGGATTGGTTGAGCCAATACAGTCCCATGGAAATCCATTGGAGAAACAAGTGGCTTTCATTCTCTCATTCTGGTCAGAAGATTCAATTGACTGGATTACAGCCCAATCTTCAACAATGCCCATTATTACTGCATCTGAAGTTTTGGAGTTGTGTTCAACTGATCAACTTTGGTGTATTCTGGAAATGTTTCAACTAGAGCCCCAGTCTATATCTAGTAGTTGTCCTACTGATCTTCATGATCTAATAGCTCAGTATGAAGAGTTGTTTGCTAAACCTGTTGGTTTGCCACCAAAACGACATATCAGTCACACCATTCCATTAATTCCTAGAGCTTAACCTTTTCGGTTAAGGCCATATCGTTATAACCCAGCACAGAAGGATGAAATAGAGAAGGAGGTACAAGAATTGTTGCAGAATGGTTTAATTAGGGAGAGTAACAACCCTTTTGTTTCTCCTGTGCTGCTAGTTAAGAAGAAAACCGAAGATTGGAGAATGTGTGTGGACTACAGGAAACTCAATGCATTGATTGTCAAAAACAAGTTTCCTTTACCTGTAATTGATGAAATTCTAGATGAATTGACTGGAGCCAAGTGGTTCACTAGTCTGGATATGACTGTTGGGTATCCCCAGATACTTATGAAAGAAACTGATCAATATAAGATAACTTTTCAGACACATCACGGCCATTATGAGTATACGTTCATGTCATATGGAGTCACAGGTGGGCCAGCCACATTTCAACAAATGATGAATTATATCTTGGCACCCTTGCTTAGGAAAGGTGTAGTTGTTTTTATTGATGACATATTAGTCTATGCATCCACTTGGGATAGTCATCTTAACATCCCTCAACAAGTGTTTCAGCTCCTGCAGCAGCATGGAATTAGAATTAAGCTATCTAAATGCTCCTTTGCTCAACAACAACTCAAGTATTTGGGGCACATTATTAGTAGTGATGGTGTTGCTACTGACCCCAAGAAAATTCAGGATGTTAAGCAATGGCCTGTGCCTACAACTATGAAAGATGTCAGATGTTTTCTGGGGTTTGCTGGGTACTACAGGAAATTTGTGCAATATTTTGGTACCATAGCTAAGCCATTGACTGAACTGTTAAAAAGGCACTATTTTTGTGTGGACCTCTATCCATCAAACTGCCTTTGATCAGCTCAAGCAAGCCTTAACTACTGCTCCTGTTCTTCAATTGCCAGGCTTCTTTAAATTGTTCATTATAGAGACTAATGCTTCAGCAAAAGACATTGAGGCTGTCCTACAGCAAGAGGGTCATCCTATAGCATATATCGGTAAAGCTTTGGGACATAAGAATCAAGGCTTATCAACATATGAGAAGGAATGTCTTGCTATCTTGATGGCTGTAGATCATTGGAGATCTTATCTTCAACATGCCCAATTTCATATTAAAATTGATTAGAGGAGTCTTGAGAATCTAACTGATCAAAGATTGACTACACCATGACAGTTGAAGGCTTATACTAAATTACTGGGACTGAATTATAAAATCATTTATAAGAAAGGCTCTGAGAATTCTGCAGCTGATGCTCTCTCTAGACTACCATCAACAACTTAGCATGTGCCCAAGGAACTCTATGCTCTGTCCACATCTCATCCTATTTGGGTTCAACAGTTAACTGAAACCTATGGGACACACCCTGCCACTACTAAGCTATTGACTTCATTAGTGCTTTTTTCTCCTCAAGGTCATTTTTCTCTGGACAGTGGAATTATTAAGTACAAATCTAGGATATGGGTTGCTAGCAGTCCGCCGTTGCAACAACAAATTATTTCAGCTTTGCATTCTTCTGCTATTAGGGGTCACTCAGGATTTCTGGTTACATATCTAAAAATCAAGAAGATGTTTGATGTTTGCTTGGCCAGGTCTCAAATCAATGATGAAGGAATATGTATCTCAGTGTCTGGTCTGTCAACAGGCTAAAACTAAAAGGGTCAAATACCCTGGACTACTTCAGCCTCTTCCTGTGCCCTCACATGCTTGGCAGGTGGTGAGTTTAGATTTTGTTGAAGGCTTACCTCTATCTAAATGTTGCAACTGTATTCTTGTAGTGGTTGACAAATTTTCGAAATATACCCACTTTATTGCCTTGACTCATCCTTTCACTGCACTGCAAATAGCTAAGGTCTATCTAGATCATATCTATAAATTGCATGGCTTGCCAACTGCTCTAATCTTAGATAGGGACAAAATCTTTACTAGTGCCATTTGGAAGGAACTTTTCCGTTTATCTCAAACTGAGTTACAGATGAGCACTGCTTACCATCCGCAAACGGATGGGCAAATTGAGCGTGTTAATCAATGCTTAGAGGGTTATTTGAGATGTACTGTTCACGCTTGTCCCACTAAATGGAAGGATTGGTTACCCTTGGCTGAATATTGATACAACACAAGCTACCATTCCTCTTTGAATCGTATTCCTTTTGAAGTATTCCGGAGCGATGGCGAGCGCTGCTCGATGTATCCCGAAACCTACTCAATCTCCGTGTTGAATTCGTTCTAAACCAGTGAATTGCTAAGTAGTGTTGTAACCATTGGTATGAAAGTCATTCCTGAATCCTAATCAACCGGCAGTCATAGCTGCCACTGACTGACTATCATTCAGAGGCAAGATGACACTTGTCGTTAGGACAGACGTTACTGACCACGAGTGCCCATGGCTGCCCGCAGGTTCCCGGGAGCACCGAGGAACCGCAAGCAGGCCTCCTTCAGCCTGATGCAGTGGTGCCGCTCAGCTAACTCGAGCGTGGTCTGCACCGTGCCCACGTCAATGAGCCTGCACAGCTTGTCCTCGCAGATCAGCTTCAGCCTCTGTATGCAGTACCTGTCCGCGGCGACGAGCAGGTTCCGGAGCACGGCGCCTTCCTCATCTCTGTCCATCTCCTGCAGCGAGTCGGTGTAGGCGTAGCGGAGCAGAGCCCTGAACGCCGGCGGATCCACGCCGTCCACACGTAAGCACCGGCACCTACGGCGCCGTCGCTCGCCGACGCCGAGCCCAGGAGACCCGCGCTGAGGACCGACGACCGGGCCGCGAGCACGCACCGGTGCGCGGCGAACGTCTCGCCGCCGACCTCGAACACGACGTCGGCGCCCCTCCCGCTCAGGAGGAGGTTGCCGAGGTGCTTGTGCAGGTCGGAGGGGGGAATGGTGGCCGACGGCGTCGCCTCCTCCGTGCGGAAGCCGTTGATGACGACGACGTCGCACCTGATGGTGAATCGGTCGCCCCCGCGGCGGATCCGCGCGGCCAGGCTCTGCCTTCCGTCGAACTTGGGGTACCCCCAACCTGTCCGGCTCGCGAAATCGTGCTGCAACTCTGGTCTGGACACACTTCCTTGCGGTTGACGAAGAAGAGAGCCCGCGTCTCGGCCACGAGTGTGAGCAGGCACCGCGCCGTCACCGGCTCGGCAACGTCCTGGTCGAGGAAGAGAAAGACAGACACGTAACCCTTGCTCTCCACGCGTTCCCCGTTGGGGTAATACCTGATGCGCCACCGTTGGCCTCCTACGGTTGAATGGTGAGGACGAGAGGAACCCCCCCTGCTCCGACGGGTGCGGCGGCGTAGAGGGTACTGGCATCGATCTGGAGCTCGTGGCGCCCGCGATCTTTGTCCGCGACGATGGCGGAGGCGGACCGCGCCGGCTTGCGGCGGTCGGATGCGGACTGCATGGCGACGATCGGCTTCATCGCGGGCTGCAGGTGCTGCTAGCTGGCCCTTGACGAGGGTTTAGCGACGAGAGAAGCAGAGTGGAGTGGAGGAACTTGGGGTTTTGGTGGAGGGGAAAGGAACGGGAGAGTAGCGAGTGTTCGACTCGAACGCTCGGTTGCTTACAGCTGAGTCCTTTCCGTTTTCGGCAAGGTTCATCCGTTCACGCGGACGCGGGTCAGGTCAAGTCGTGGGCCCGCCGCGGCCTGGCTTTGATCTGGATGGAACGCGGCATTCACATGTGCCATGCTTGGGCTGGGCCTTTCAGTTTTTGCTGCTCACATAAAATGTCTGGAAATCCTAAAAGGGGAGAGCATTTGGAAGTTGAAACTGAAGGACGCAGCGTAGCCCGAGCAAATAGCGCAGCTAGGCCTACGGGCCTACGGGCCTACTGCTTGTGAAAAAATCTTTTCTTTTCTTTTATATATATATCACCGTTTAATAAATAATTTAAATACTATTCTCTTATTTTAAAACACTACCATGCAATGAGATTATGGGAAAAGAAGATAGATTCTAGAAACATGGCGCCTAGCTGCAACAACGTCACTGATAGGAAGATAAACACATACCAGCAGGCAATCCATGCAACATCACTGAAGGGAGGCATGCACATACCTGCAGCTGTAGACAATCCAAATCACATTGGATAACGAGACGTGACCTCTTCAGACCTTGTTCGTTTCAACCATCACCCCAAACCATAAACCATCCAAATCACACTGGATAACGAGACGTGACCTCTTTAGACCTTGTTCGTTTCATCCCAAACCATAAACCATGGTTTGGGGACGAAACAAACAAGGGCTTATGAGGGCGGGAATAGGCCTTATGATGGCGGGAATAGGGGTACACGTAGATTCTACCTTACATAAGACCACAACAGAAAGAAAGAAAAAATAGTTCACAAGTTCCATGAGCTCACATGTACTTACTTAAGACAATCAGACCCACATAAGTAAACCTGACATGAAACAGATAGAAATTCAACAAGAATCTAAGTCACGCTAATCTGCACGAAACATGATACACAAAATTAATGCATGTTGTTAAAAAAGAACAACACAACTAATCTGCATCGTAAACAAGCTAAGTATAGAAGTTCAAGGTTAAGCATACCTCTTCAGTGAAGTTGATGAATATGAATCTAACTTTGTAGTTTATATCTAGAGGATTAGCGGAAGAAAGAAAAAGGACACAATAAAATGGATTTATTAAGATAAATTCTACCCATAAGGAACACGGCATCAATATAGCCCATAAAGGAAGTAAGGAACATAGCATCAAAAGTCACAATCCAGATTTAAAGCACTTCGATCAGGTTCCAAAACAAGAGCATTGAGTTTCAATTAAACTGCCCATATCACTACAGAATCGCCATCTGGCAGCATCATTACAATATAGAAAGAAACTAAGTTCACAGCGTACACATGTTTAACCACAGCGATCATCATGTTCTAAGCTCCCAAAAGTGTCAACCCCAACTCCTGCAACAATTAAAATGCAGAGTAAATAACATACCAAAACTTCGATAGTTGATATATAGGCTTGTTTGGAACGCATGAATTTACATGGATTACACGGGAACTTTATGGGAATCAGTTCATTTTCACGGGAAAAAAAAGCAGAAACATGAAAAAATTCCCGCGTTCAACAGGAGCTGAATCATGATAACGAGAAACACTACATCATACCATGAATTTCCAGACCGACTGAGGAATCCGAAATCACCATGTGGGGCGCCTTTGGACGATGAACGCCGGATTCGAAAAGGAAACCAAGCTGGGGAGGGTACCGGAGCGGCGTTCCGTGTAATGCGATGACGGCACGCCTCAGGCTCTTGGCCTCATCGAGAAGGGCGAGAAGATTTCTGTTGTGTTGGTCTGAAATTGCATATAAAATCACTCAGTGACAACACACAACAAAACCTGAAGTGGCGAGGAGTAATTGAGGAATAAAACGCGATCTCACTAGCAACTTCATAGCCGTAGAACTGGCCCTCTTTGAGCACATCGTAACACTCGACCAGATCTTCGTAGCAGACGCCGAGGGCCTCATTGATCTCCGGCACCGTAAGCGCCTAGTACATGGACAATAGAAGGGTAAGACGAGAGAAATTAGTGTATCAAACGACGATCCCGATGGGAAAGAGGAGCATCGTGTCTCACCATTGCTTCGATTGATGACGTGTCTCTTTTGCGGCGGAAGCGGAAGCGGCGGCTGCGACGGCGGCGGCAACAGGGATGCGTGGGTTGTCGGGGGGATTGGGGTTGGGAGGAAGCGGTGGTTTATCGGATCTTGTGGGGATCCGCACCCGAGACGGAGGAGCTGAGGCCTGAGGCCTGACTGCCAGAGGAGTTGGAGTCGGAGGCTGAGACAGTGAGACGTGAGGGTGGATCCGATCGGAATCGTGGCCATAGCCCATGGGCTGTCCTGCCAAATAAATTATCGGCCCACTCCCAATCCTCCTCCTCCTCCCGTTGTCGTCTGTACCCCACAAGGCCACAAGTGCCCAAGCCGCCGACGCCGCACCACACCATGGACGAGGAGAAGGCGCCGTTGCAGCCTTCGACAACGGAGGAGGAAGTCTGGCTCAAGATCTTAGAGATATTTGGGCCGATGGATTCCGGGGCCGCGCTGGCGAGCGTCGACATCCCCACGGTACGCGCCGAGGACATCATCGGGTGAGGTACGTGCCGACGGCGAAGATCCCCACGGTACGCACCGAGGACAGCAACAGGATAATGTACGTGCCGACGGGGGAGTTGGTGAGGACGGTCGTCAGGCTGGAGGAGGAGGACTGCAAGAAGCTCATGGCGATGCCGTGGCCTCCCAAGATGCCCGCCGCCTTGTCGGAGCACCGGTGCGACGGTATTAAGAATCCCGAGCTCCGGGAGAGGATGCGTTGCCTTCGGGGCGATTGCCGCTTGCGGCTGGAGCGCACCCACGCTCAGTGGGCTAGCATCCGCCAGCAGTATGCCACCAATGGCTACGCCGAAAAGATCATCGATGTCGATGCCCATGGCTTATAGAGTGGATTCCGGAGCTGTAAAAGCCCCAAGAATCTGCCAGAACCATCATAGTATACTCCATACTGTATCTAGTAGTACTAGTGTGTCTGAGGTTTGCTCGTGTCTACTACTAATCTCGATTTGACAGCTCAGTAATGCAGTGTCCATCCTCGTGTAACCTCTGATCCATGAATTGGCAATCGTTTGATTGTTATTTGCTTGCAATTGGTCATGTTTATTTGGCTGAACAGTCAGGTTAAAAAGTATCGCTGATTTGTCATGAGAGAAAACCACTGTACGTCTGTACCATGGCAACATGTATTTTTGTCATGTTTTGGAACTGCTTCTAAAGCAGCTTCTCATCCGAAAAGCAAAACTGCAGCCAAACACAACTTTTGGACAGCTTCCCTAAACTCTAACTATAGGCTCTTTGTATAGCAAAACTATGAATGATGTTCATATTCCGCTCCCATTCAGATTCGTTGAAAACTAAATATCCCTAAACCCCTTTAGCTGTTATGTAGCATGACCAGTAGGAGTGAAAACAGTACGGATATTTTTCGACTGTATTTGAGAACGAATCCGTTTAGAGGGATTCAGATCCATCCATATCAGTCTGGATATTCAACATCCGATACCATATCCGTATTGAATACTCAAAAGCGCATATTTATGATATCGATATCCAATCATATCATATCCGGTATGATTGACATTATCCATATTTGAATTCAAATCTGGACAAAAATATAGAAACAAATATAATATCAGTGACATATGTTCGTATCCCATCCGTTTTCATCCTATTGATTAGCATCGTCATGTTAAAGTCACGGTGCCTTCGTCGTTGACAGGGGGGGCCTGGTGCTAAGTACTAGATCCCTTGTGCCTAGGGTCAAACTAATACCACCTTTTGTTGAAATGCCGTCTTGCCGTATTCGTTTCCATGGGTGGTTTGTCATGCTTTTGTTTTGTAATGACACCAGGGGTTGATTTCATATATAGGTTGGTAGTCATCCATGATACCAGGTACAAAACATGTAGGTAATGGCCATGACCCAAGGTTTGCATTAGGACTCTAGGAGGAAGGATGCCTTCACAATGCGTCGCTTCTGGTAGCAGTTTTTGCAGGCCATCTACATGTACTTCAGCATGCAACAAGTAACCCATGCATCGCCTCCACTAACCTAATCTGTCTGATTTATATTTTAAGCAATAATAAAATCTAGAAAGAAAAGCACCAAAGGTATCATGGATCATCAGCAGGTAGTATTACTTTCTCATACCCAATCTATTCTTACTGCATACTGACAGTTTTTATGTTGTACATTAACTCACAATATTCTCCTCCACAGGTTAGTGACCCATGTTTTATTTGATAAAGTTAAAGATCAAATATTAGCACGGTGCCTTTTCTTTAGCTCATTCACGTGGACTGCTGACACAACTCTTTTAATGTATCATTTTTCATGTAAATATATTTAAATCAATTAGTAATCATGGTACAAATATCTGCCCCCACTATCCGGCATTCAATTGAAGTTCATAATATAGTTTTTTTTTATCCTCAGTTACACCCCCTGGCAACAATTTATTATATAACTCAGAAAATCTACAAAGGCCAATATATTTCTTTTGTGAACAAACCTGTTCTGCTTACAGCGCATATATATTTCTTATATTTGTTCATACATCACATCTGATTCCTTCTAGGCCCTGTTTGTTTCGCTGAAATTTGGCTTATGCTGATTTATTGTGAGAGGAAAACACTGTTCGTTCGCTGAAAAGTACTGCTGAAATAGTTCAAGCGAACATGGTACATCATATTTCTCTTAACTCAATTGAATTCACCTAGTACGCTAGACAACTACTCATCACTTCACGAAACAGAATAAAGCATGCAACACTCAAGCAATATGGTAACACACTTACATTTGAGACTGTTATGGGTACATGGTACACAAGTAAACCTTAATAAAAGCATGACAACAGATTTTGACCACATAGGAGTGTAGCAATCCTGGTATCAGATTTGTATAATTTTAGGCGTTTCGAAGTGAAAGGGAATCAAGGGGATTCAACAGGAGGCAGGCGGAGGCGGTGGGTACCGCGGTACATAAGGAAGGAGCGGAGTCCCGTGCTCAATTGGACCTGGCCTGATAGTGGCTTTGGAGCTTGGGCTCGGATCAACGGGTTGGTAGTCGTCGGTCCTAATATTTTGCAGGCCCCTTGTCTTTCGGATGGTAAAGGTATATTGTTCCTGAAAATGATACATGAAAAGTCACCTATAAGAACTTGATTTCCCTATTATAATCGGTGATGGAGATGGCCTTGTGCGCGATATGCTGATCGAGAATTGAGAGCACACACCTTTAGTTTCCTGCCGTTTAGCTCAATGCTTCCATGTCCTGGATCTACAAGGAATTCAACTAAATGTCACCAATAGGCCCATATATGCCCCCTAAATATAATCTCACTAATTGCTCAATAAAAATATGCTGACAGAAAAACAGACTAACCAATCATCATAAATATATACCACGCCCACAACTGTCGGGAGTATGTGGATGGTGAAACGGGTGTGTACCAGGTAGTATACTCTCCCAATAAGATGTGCACGTATTCCAGGATTAAAATTCCTTAATCTTTGATCAATAGATAGCCAAAGAATTCACAGATTTAGTGCGATTGGATTTGATTTGACGTCAATGTCATGGCCATGAACAGCATAATACATGAGGTTTTTTTTTGAGGAATAATACATGAGGTATTAATGGTTATAAGGTGTAGCTTTGAAAACTGCACTGGGCCAAATCGCATCCTACTTTTTTGAAAAGACGGGCACCAAGTCTTTTTTTCGTGCATATATACATATATGGAAGTTTGCTGCATATATGCTCGGTAAATAGAATTCGGTAAAGTGAACTCCTGAGGCAATTAAATTACTACTATGTACATGTATATGGGCGTGTACTATGATTTGAAAAAAAAATACTACAGGGCTCATGGAGGTAACTCTTGTAAACCTTTTCCAGTGATATTCTTGTTTGAAGAGAAACCACTCAAAAGAGAATGAAAGAACTAGCCTTCACATTATCTTGCCGGGCTATCAATATCAGCCGATGATTGGTCGTCAACTCTTCTTTTCTTTTTAGTTCTGAGTACAATATCGGATCTCATTCAAATTTTCATCATTATAATTGCTCAAGCTACAAGCCTAGCACTATCACTCTTGGCTCCAGAAAACTGATGAGAAAAAAGAAAGAGAACAGGAGGCGCAGGAACGAAAGTAATAAGGGGGAAAACAGGAAGATTGCCGGACCGGAGATAGATGATCTGTTGCATGTACGTGTACGGTGTACCTGTGGAGTTCTTGACGCTTCTTGGGTTAGAGGCGATGCCCATGAGCAGATTTCCTCCAACAAATGCGGATATCAGAAAAATCAGCACAGAGGGACGCTTCATCTCCTGATCTCCTACCGCTGCTCAAGCACAATCCTTTCAAAGCTTGAAATGCTTCTACGGCTGTGCTTCGTTTCCTTTGGCTTCCTGAAGCTCCTCTTCTTAAGATAGGGAGACGTCCATGCGTGATGCAACTCCATTCGCATTACTGCTAGATGTCAGCATGCGGATTTAAAAAATGATGTGATAAGACCAGAATTTATGTCATCGTCAACAACGAGGAGCTGCAGAAAAATGGCCGGGGAAAGCGAGGAAGGTGGCCTCCATGCATTCCACTTGCTCGCATTGATGGCCATGCTTGCAGTTGCAGCCTGCAGGTGTTGTTGGTCCTCACTTTCTGATTTCGGCTGTCGCTTTCCTTTTTTTACCTACCAATTACTAATTTCGTCAGTAGCAGAAGTGTCCTCAGCATCCTATTTTCCAGAATTTTCTGTAGAAAGGACTACACTTCTGACTCCTGGGATATTATACAAAAATTCATGTAGAAAGGAGGATACTCCTTCCCCTCAAAAGGGGGCACACTTCTGACTCCTTGTTGTGATATTATATAAAACTGTATAAAACTGCTCAGACATAAGACAGGGGTGTACCCCCAAGAGCAGAGAGCTCCCGCTCTGTGCAGGGTTTGGGGAAGGGTGTCAGTGGCAAGCCTTATCCTCGCCTGTGTAATGTGAGGAGACCGCGACTCAAACCCGAGACCTTCCGGTCACAGGCGGTAAGACTCTACCGCTTGCACCGAGCCCGCCCTTATGCTCAGACATAAGACGGTTGCACAAAAATGAAAATCTGCACGGACTGGTATGGGGTATGGTTTGGTAGATAGAGAAAGCATCAGACATCAGAATAGGGCATAGACAGTACAAATAGCAAGAGACATATTCATATCTTTTCTACCAAAACGGTCCAACGCCAAAGGGTACAGAAGCATATGGACACCTTGCTATGTCAGCACGGAGTCCTGAATTCTCTTTCTTATCTCCCTGGTATTGCTCAAGTGCTCATCAATCAGTGGTATAGAAATCATCTATGGGGTAGAAAGTTCAAGCCATTTCTTGGTCATGTCATCGGTTTGGCATGATGTCGATGCTGCCTTCTAGATCACACGAGCGCTCAGGGCAATCGAGCTTACCCCATCGTGCAGCTACTCTTTGGCAGGGAAATATTGGCTTCCCAATGCTGCAAGAAAAAAACACAGACCGCTCAGATAGGAAACACATAAGAACAGGTTCATCAGGGGATTCCAGAAGCTCAAGATTCTGCAAATCATGGTATCAGAATGGAAACATCTACACTTATAAACATATACTGACATACCCCTTACTGTAGGAGTAAAATGGTGTGCCTCAGTTTTCCTCTTTTTGGCCCTGAGACCTTACTTTTCCTATGATTCTATATAAACAGGTTCAACGCTACAATGCCTTAGATGATTTCAAAGGAAACAATAAGCAACTGCACAAAGCTGACTATATATGGACTCACCTTCGATTAACCACGTTGTGCACATAACATAACCACTGGGAGAATTCAGCCTGAGATCCTGCCTGCACAGGATTTGCTCTACAAAAATACAGCACAGTTAAGTCAGTTTCGTGTTCAAGAATTATTGCTATCACTGAACTATAATATATTTAATTTGATGAATAAGATGCTGTCCTCTACATAAACTTTCAGATAACCAAAAATAAGATAAAATAACACACAACTCAGACATGTTTTCATATCAGATATTAACAACATGGATCTTCACAAATATAAACACCAACAAACATTGTGATTCATTGTTATATTCAAGTCACCTACAGATGAGCACATAAAGAGTTTAATCATCATGTGCATCATATGGACAAAAACTGTGTAAACACAGAACGAATAGGTGTATAGTGTACCAGGCTACCAGCCAAATCCATGACTTTAAGCACCAGAAACTAGGGGCTGTTTGGTTACCCGGCTAACCTCTAGCCAAGTTCCAGCAGGCCAGCTGCGAGATGTTTGGTTGCCTGGTTTGGGCACATAGCCAGGCTTAGCTAAGTCAAGGAGGACCCCTTAGCCAGGCTTCCTGGAAACGGATCGCCAAGTCATTTCCCACTAGCCACCTTGGCTAGCGCATCCCGTCCTCTGCTCACCTCCCTCCTCGGTCTCGTGCTGTGCCGTCGTCCCTGCCCCTGCCCCTGCGCTGGCGACTCTCTTCCTCCGCTCTCCTCCCTCCTCGCTCTCGTGTTGCGCCGTTGTCCCTGCTCACGTCTCCCCACGCCTCCGTCGAATTCGGCTGGGCCCACGCCTTCGCCGCATCCCGCCGGTCCCGCCTCCGCTGGATCCCGCTGGCCCCGCCTCCGCCGGTTCCCGCGGACCCTGCCTCCGCCTCACTTGTGTGCGAGCTTCTCCCGTAGGCCCTAGAGCCGGTTGACGAGGGCGCGCACCTGGAGCCGGTCGATGTGCGCCGCCTGGTCGGCGAGGACGCGCACCTCGCCCTCTTGCTCGGCGCACGCCTTGGAGGTGGCGACGGAAACAGCCCGGACCAACAATGAGGGCGAAGGCAGGGTGCGCAGCGGAGGCGCTCGAGGGGGCGGCGCGCGGGTGCTTCGCGAGGAGGCCCTAGTCGCGCGAGGGCGCATGGACGGCGGCCGGCGCGGCCCCCGGCGCCTGGCCGAGGAGGGGTGGGTTGGAATCGTGAAGCTTGATGGTGTGAGGCCCGCGCCGGACGGCCATCGGAGGCGACTGGCATGGCCGCGGTGGGGATTGTGTGGATTCGTTGCTCGCCGGACATGGTGCTACTGCTGGTGGATGGTGGTAAGTCCACCTCCATTCTTATGCAAGGTGATTCTATCATCATAGCCAAGACCAACCAAACAACCTAAGGTTGCATTGCTGGAGCCTGTCTTAGGCTGCCCTGGCTTAAAATGTAAGCCAGGCTAGCTTTAGGAAGACAACCAAACAGACCCTAAGATTGAGGCACAGATTTCATATTGTAGAAAATAGCAAGAGTTCACAGCTATTATGTGATATTTTTAGATCATATTATAAACCAGTAAACTGTCAAGGGTACCATGTGACCACTTCACAGAGAGAATAAACTTGTAACACAAAGAAACATCAAGGAATCAAGCTATTAAAATGGATATTACTAGTATTTATCCAAGTTGTTGGTGAGCAATGCTTACTTCAAAACTTCCTTGAAGTGATCAGCACATTCTTTGCAAGGATATAGTCTTGAAATTATATGCATCTGATCATGCAACCAGCAGTAATGTTATTTTTGTGTGCATATCAAGCAATCAAACAACAAAAATGTTGCGACATAGAGAAGGTAGAAACTTTCAGGGAAAAAACATGTTTCCATTTGTCTGGTGAACGTGCTAATGTCTAATTACTCTGGTGATCTTGTCCCTCCTAAAAAATGTTTTCAGCTTACTATTCCTGACAGATTGAGTGGTAGTCTGGTAATACATAGCTTATGATTTTTTTTTTCTTCTAAATGTGCCATCAGAATCATGATAAACCATGTGTACGCTACACTAATCCGTCTAAGTTGGGAATGAAGAAAGAGATCATAAAGGATTAGAGTCTCACCCTTGGAGGATTTTATAAATGTACTCAGATCATGAAACCTATTATCTGTAATTTTCAGGATGTAGCTAGCAGCATTTCCACATTTACAAAGTGATATCTAGTACTTGACCATGAGAGTAAATTACAGTTGCAGCAAGTCCTTAAACCTCTTCACAGCAGCGGTTTTGGTTTCTCAAGTCCCAAGTACTCACATTCTAAAGAAAATTAATAGGGTTGTCTCTCGTGCTTACCAATTCCTTTGCATCCCGTTTTTGCTGCCTGGTGGGTTCATCAGGGAACTGAAAGCAAGTCACATAGTTGATGAGACACAAAACAAATTCAAATACAAGTATACTAATCAATCTATGTAAATGTGCTATGATACATGGATAACATTTTTGCTCCCCATCTACGGCTTGCGTTTTGATCATTATATAACGTGAGACAGTATAATAGCATTGGCAGATTTGGGCAAATGCTAAGCTAGTTTTGTGCTTCGTTATGCTACTCAGCAATAGATCGAGCACCTGCGCTGCGATGGTGTGAAGCAGCATCCACGTGGCCCTGCCGACCTCCTCCTTCGTCAGGGGCGCCTCCTTGGCATCCTTCTCCTTCTCCTGCGCATTCACTCGAAACCCTCACGAATCACCTCCCCGTCAAACCAAACCAAACGGAAGACAACATCGGCGCGGAGGACAGAGAAAAACGACTTGCCTTCAGGACCTCCGGCCGCGGTGGTGCCGGCGAAGGCGGGGAGAGGGAGAGAGCTAGGAGGGGGCGGAGGCGGTGGTCGTCGGGGCCGCCGTCGGGGGCGATGAGGATGTGGCGGGAGAAGGCGGCGACGGTCTGGAAGACGGGCGCCAGCGGGTTCCACCCCGGCAGTGGCATCGAGGTGGTGGCCGCGGGCTCGAGTGCGCGTGGCGACCCGGGCAAGCGCAATTGCGCGAAAGGCGGTGGGTGGATGGATGGATGGGGTGGGGTGCGGTGCCCGTGCGCGAGGCGACGCCGGCCGAGGCGGGGGTGCGAAGCAGAGGAGCAACGGAGGAAGGAAGCACGGTAAAATCGGTGGAAAAAAATCAGTGCGTACCGTACTATTTTTTTTTCCAAATCGGTGGACGTGATCCCGTGGATCTCATGCGAAAGGCAGTGGGCTGGATGGGGAGGGTTGCGCCGCAAAATCCAGTGGGCTGCACGCCTGCACGGCAAAGGTCTTACGGTGGGCCGTGCCGGGGCTTGGTCTCGTCACTTCCAAATTTCGGTGATCGGATCAGGGGGCTTGAGGAGAAATCGTGTGCACGGTCTAGAATTCACATGGCGGGCTACCGCGGCGCCCTCGAAAGTCACGAGCGGATTCAAAGTCTCCTCGCGAAAATAACTCCAAAATTAGTTTAACAACTCTATAGTTTGCAAAATTGTATCTCTAAAGATAAGTATACTTCGTAGATCTTCCCTAAGGCTCTAACTCACAAATATGTGTGTGAGTTCCGGTTTGGAACCCGTTCGGATCGTGGTTTTCACCTGGTTTTTTTTCAGTTTTAGAAAGCTATAAGCATTAGAACTATTTGACAAATGTAAAAATAAGCCTCTCCCTGTTCATTTTATTCAATTAGCATAATTATTGATTTACGAAGAGCTTTAAAATTACTTTTGAAGATGCTTTTTTTAAATACTTTTGAAGATGCTTTAAGTTAAGGTAGAAATACCTTGCCAAAAAGTTCATGCGCCTGAGACTTCCTGGAGGATAGAATCTCCTCGAGATCAAACATTATGAGCAACAACAACTTTAAGGGCCTCTTTGGAACACATGACATATAGAATATAGGAATAGGAAAAACACAGGATTACAGTTGCACGTCACTTACAATCCTACAAGAATTGAAAATACAGGGAATTCTCTAATGGAGCATTTGGATACAACATAGGACAAACACAATAATTAGAAGAGAGAGATGGACACAAAGGAAATTTTCCAAGAGGTTCCTCATGTTAGATTTCCTCCAAAATTCCTTTAGATTGAGCCATTCCATAGGAACTTTGTAGGATTTCACAATGGCCAATCCTTTGTTCCAACGATAATGCTACCATTGAGACGTCAGGATCGCTCCACTCGTGCTGCTCGCCTTAAAAAAATAAATCCCCATGGAAGCTCGTCTCCCCCATTCTGTGCTCGTGCATCGCAGCTTCACGACGCCGTGCGGCCGTCCGACTATCCCAATCTGCCGTGCTTCCACCTCCATCCTGCGCTGCCGCCCCCCATCCCCCGCAGCGCCCCCAATGCTCGCGGGACCTCCGTCTCCCGCGGAGAGGAGGAATCCTCCGTGTGAGGTACGCTACCATCCTCCTCACCGAGTGCAGCTGCCGCCGAACCCGGTCGTCGGCGCCTCAACCTCCGCCTCTAAGCTCTATGCGCATGCTCGACGAGTGCAATGGCAACTCCGTCCCCTGCCGCGCCACCGTGCTCCGTCCTTCACCGCGCCCAGGCCAGGCGCCCAGTAGAGGGGGCGTCGTTGGCCAGGCACAGGCACAACTTGTTGCTGCCAGGCCACGCCACCATCCTTGACTGTCGGTTGGTCAGAACCGGCCGTCCCCCGATCCGCATTACGTCGTACGAAAGAATGGTGGAAAACGCTTGTTCCAAGCGTTTGTTTCAAGTGTTTTAAATGTTTTAGAGGTATGTTGCAATTGTTTCATACGGATGTTGCAAAAGTAGATCGAGATGTTGCAATGGTTATACACGTATGTTGCAAGTTACTCTTCTCAATTTTTCATCTGTTTTTCCGACCTATGTTGCAAGTGTGTTTATCTAGATATTGCATATGTTTTCATATATATGATGCAAATATTTTATCTAGATGTTGCGTATGTTTACAATGGTTTCAAGTTTTTTCAGGCGCATGTTTCAAATGTTTCATTCGTTTTTAGTCGCATGTTCCAATTGTTACACCTAGATGATTTAAAACTAGATCGAGTGTTGCATCTCCTTCCTCGCCTTTTTGGCTCGTCTCGGTATCAGGCGCAGGAAGACGGAGGCAGTCCCCACTGACACGGACGGGCTCCACATGCTTGCGGACGCAACAGGCGAGACGTGGGTGGGCAGACGTGGAACGCGACACGAGGGCAGCGACACGGACGTCCAGACGGGGGAATAGCAACCGGACTAACCACGCCCTCGTTCCAAAGGGCTACATAGGAAAATTTTCTATGGGTTTAGAATCCTTCAAAATTCCTCCATAAATCTTTTGTTCCAACTGGGGCCTAAACTTTCTTGCGCTCTTGACACGTTGTTCTATCCTTCCATGGCGTAAACACTAGCATATTTCTATCTTTTTCATCTTCTTGCGGTAAGTTCGTGACAAATCGTCGCATGATACGATAATGCATACACCTGGCTCGCTGACGATGTTTCAACACTTCAACGTGTGTGTTTGCTAAAAATCGTGGTAGACCGCGGGCACACGTAAATACTCCGTCCGTCCATTAAAAAAAATACAATTTTAACACAGTGATATAGTTTAATATCTTAAGTTCGATCAATTGTAAATAAAAAGATATCAGTATGTATGGTATGAAATAAACATCATTAGATTAATTACGAAATGTATTTTTATAATAAATTATTTTAAAATTATAAATGTAAATAATATTCACTAAAAATTTAGTTAAATATAAACTACTTTTGGCAGCACACTATCACGTAAGTGTTCTTTTCTGGATCGAGGGAGTACTATCACGTCGGATGTTACTCTCCTGTTGAGAGGCAGGCCAGACGTGGTCCAATAGAAGCGGTTTCCTGCCGTGGCCCGTGGGAAGTAACGTTCATCAGTCTGACAGCGAGGTGCATGCGGATGGCCGGCCAATGCGGGGGGCCTGCGGCCATGCCCATGTCAGCGACTCGGGAGCGACGGCCGCGTGGCACGAGGGATTGATGAGGGCGTGGGCGCCTGTGCGGAAATCGGAAAGCGGCGTGGCTGTGGCCCCGTGCCTAGCTCCGTCGCAAGGCCGAAACATCAAGGCCCCGGCCGGTCGGTGGATTCGGCGCCTGCCGGGGCTACGCACCCGTAGCACGATACTCCTCGAGTCCTCGTGTCGAGCAGGCACACTCGCACACTCACTGAGCGATGATATGTGATTGGGCGACCGGCGACATGTCTGTGCGTCGTGCGATTGGGCACGCGGCAGGCAGGACACGTCGGTCGGTCGAAGCAACCCAGGTCCCCGCGCCGCGCGCGGCAGCCTGGATGAGGAACTAAGGATGAAGAACGTCAGGGGGGCTGCGCGGCCGGCAAAAGTTGAAATGGACGACGATGCCTAATAACGCTTAAAATCCGCCCGTCTACTGGTGCAAACCTGACGTAGTAGAACGGTAGAACACCACGACTACAACACTTCGCCCCTGTGAAACGAACTCGATCGGTCGTCGTGATAATCCAGTTTTATCTGACAAGTTGCCATATAAAAAGCATGCTTATACACGTCCGCGGAGCTGCGAGATAGGCCATACGGCCGCCTCATCTGTCATTTTCTCTACTAGTGGCAAACGCGCGCCCCGCGCCCCTGCGCGCGATGGGCAAGTACTCTGTTGAGATTTGTTCGGCTAAGGTATACATGTCAAGGACGCGGTTATTTACATGGGTAACATGCCTTGATCGATATATATTTACAACCTGGTGCAAACATAGAGTCTGAGTCATACACTAGCCATGCTATTGGTCCGTGGTTTCCTACAGCAGGTGATGGTCATGTACATAGTGCAGGCGTGATAGCTGGTTTGTATTTACAGCATGCATATAGCATATACTTGGGGATATATTATACAGATGTCTGGTCGAGAGCTTGCACTGCTGGATGCACTTGATGGTCAATGGAAGCTGGTCGCAACAGATACTGTGTCGTAGGCGGACAAATCTGTTTCAGAATTAAATCATGTAAGACTCACGCAAGCAGTGAAGAAGCTGGTTACTGGGTCTGTGGACGTATGAGATCTGATAATTGTTTTGTTACCTGATCATGTTGCATATGGTTCCCAGTCCGACGGTACTGTTCATCCAGTAAAAACCTGTTGTTATACAGCCGTAAAGATAAAGCTCAAATTTTTTCTGTATATGTATATTTATATATATATATGAGTCGGTGTTGATGTTCGTACCTGAGCTGTCCGAGTTTGCGGTTGCAAATTCTGTTATTTAAGAAGTAGATGAAGCGATGGCTTTTTACAAAGCAGAGGTCACTGGAGTTAAGAAGGTCAACTGTAAGTGATCATATGATGCAGTTCTGTTAATGGGTGTACATTTTTTGTAGCTGACTTGGGGGCGACACCAGTTTTATGTTTCTTGCCATTCTTTTCGGTGGAAGGCTGTCTTCTCCTCTGCTTTTGTCATCCTGCATATGATGGAATAGCAGTGGAAACCTGAGCCATATGTAACAACACAAACTGAAAGCAGAGCCAGTCGCGAGGTGGATAGCAGTTGATTGTCGTGGATACACCGCTCGTGACACACGCAAATGGGAGGGGAATGACTCCAGACCTGGTTCTGAAGAGCTGTCTCCGTACAACCGTTTCCGAACATTGTCATGAGGTAAAGTTCCATGTGTTGGAGCAGATCTGTGGAAACAAGGGGAAAGGAAGAGCAAAAATTAAAAGGGAAGTAGGAGAGAATATACCTAAAACAAGGGGAAATTAAAATGCACCTGAAAGGTAATTTGATGTCAACAATAGCAACAAAGAAGAAAGTGTAAGGAAGTACGACTGCTTGCCATGCAAGGAGCACTACAGCTTTCGAGCACACCATTTTATTCAACAAACTAATTAATTCAAAATTTGGAAAATTAGAGAGGGCAAAGGATAAGCATATTTTGTCAACCTGAGGCAAAAGTTTTGCCGCCATGAATCTTCGCTAACAGATGACACCAGTTAATCGCAAGCAAGCTCAGCAAGTGTTAGCCTTTTAGGTCCAACAGATGACACCAAAAGAAGTGAAAGTCTTGTCTCCAGATAAATTTTGTAATTGCATATGCTGTGCCCTGGAACCAACCAGCAGCCTCCCTAGGCATCTGCATTGCAGGCAGCACCTAATTGTTGACAAAAATTGTATCAGTAAATGTGTGTTTTAATCAGATAAAGAAATTCGGTACAAATATTTGAAAGCTCTTTGACTAAGTCAATCAAATTTGAGGTTGGGGTGTCCAGTAAGTTTTGCATGCAGAAATTGAGAGTTATAGCAGCTAACATCAAATCAAAAAATTACAAAGGGCTGTGCTGAAACACCATCACTATCGTGGGTGTGTGAAAAATTACAGAAGTGTCTGGTCCAGTAACTGAATTGTTGGTCAACATTCCAATAAAAGAGAATTGTATGCACTTAGGAAGCGATGAAGCTAAAGAAAGAAGTATTCGTGGACAGTTTTTCCAAACATTGGAAGCAAATGTGGTAATATTGATGGATATGGACAGGAAACAGTCACCAGCTTCTATTACCTGGGAGGTAGATCCGGGCTGCGGACTGCCCTGGTGTAGAGGTATACCATTTTTTCTGCCTGTGAGCCGCAATCATCGCCTTGTCCTCCTGCGTGCCAGCAAAATCACAGGAAGAAAGCCCAATGTTCTTTCAAATCTCAGGTGAAGAGCCCTTTAAGGAAAAAATGTCAATATTTGATTATGTCACTGTGAAATAAACTTCGAGGCTATGAACTCCATCTGCTATGAACTCCATCTGCGTTGGATAATGTCATAGATGGATACACGTTGTACACAATATGATCCAACAAAAAGGATAGTTAATAACGTACATGTATGAATTTATGTTGCCAGTTCTGTTCATCTTTGTTGCTGCAAGCTTATCGACCATTTCCTCAATATCAGGTACGAACTTTAATGCATGTTAGTTAACTGTGCATTCTAGCCAGAGAGCTCATATCCCAAACTCTGTGAGGTAACCTAAGACAGCAATTATGCAGGAGCCAAACAGAGAGGCATCACATACTCCTGTGCATGGTTGCTGAGGTGAGAAAGCATATATAGGTGCATTCAGTTTATATGCCACAAGCAAGGAAAAAGAAAAGGTGGTTTGTTCTCTGTTATGACTATAGAGTGCACAAATAAGAGATGTCAGTATTATTAGATGAGAAAACCAAATAGGTATATTAATGGGACAAATATTGCAGCGCTATAATAAATCTCCAAGAAAAGAACATGTCCATCAGGTATAGAAATTACAGGAGGAACTAAGTATTTAAGTTACAGGGTAAACTGCGCACCAGCTATAGAACTCACAGCGGAAACTACTGAAACAGCAAGAAGGGACCATGGAACATATCAATCGGTTGCATTGGGAATTCAATATGTATGTAGGGACTGTATGTAGTGACTGAGCGTTCACGGGTTAAAGAGGATAGGAATTGTGTAGGCATAGGTATTGAGTCTGGTACTATGGCTCCTTAATTATCAAGTAAATGCATGCTCTATCCATTTAATTAAGCATGCAGGTATTATACAAGGTAAGTACCAAACGGACATAAGGCAGCAGCTTGGTAGTAGTGGTTGCAGAAGGCATGGAATATAGATAGCATCATAGTAGATGGATAGAAGCAGGTAGTCAGGAAGTTTACAATTTTTATTCGAACGCAAGTTCCAGTTCGTTTCAACTTCATACATGCAGAAAATGGCTCAGCGTTGCAATAACCGTAACGTTATGAGCACATAAAAAAATTGTTATGAAGATACAAAATTTCTAAACAAGCACCTGTAGCTTTGACGGTCTGTCAAAAAGCGTTGCAGACAATCCAAATGACGCATTTTGATGCAAAATAAGAAGGGGATTGTTTGAAGTGACAATGACGATTGGAAAAGATCTCAAAGATCACATGAATGTAGAAAGCCACAGGATCCCTCATATAGACAGCTACCACTACATCATTCTTCATGGATCGTCCATCACCTTTTGTTCTGTTCGAAGAGGTTATGCGAAAACATTCGTCGTTGTCGAAGCACCAAGAACATTGTTCCTGACAGAAACACGGAGGCTTTCACTTGCTAGAAAATGTGAAATGCAACATGACAAACAAATCGCTTCCAGTAAGAACATGGTATGAGCAGGATACTCATCCGTGTAAGTAAGTTCAGTGGCTTGTTTTTTTTTGTACACCAAAAAAGCCTTCAAAAGCTTCCATGTACATATATGATGTTTTCTCACCTCAACATATATGATGCCACTTCTTCAAATTCATTTTCCAGTGTGAGAGTAGTCTGAAGATTTTGTAGTGGTCTTTCTGTCGTAGGCTCGTAGCTAGCCGATGGTCAGTAAACTGCCCAAAAAAAACAACGTTTATTAGCCCTCGGAAATCATGTGGCAATGTGGTGTTTGAGTTTAAGTCATTTTTGCATACGTGGGACATGGAGGAAGCCAGTTAATCTATGGGATGCGAAATGACTTTGTTACCCTCGTCTACTTCTTCGTCCGTCTCAACCTCATCGCTCGGTAAAGATGCATCCCACAGACAAAGACTGAACACACATCCTGCTGCGGGGCCTGTTGATTGGCGACACCGGCGACGATCTGCAGCGGCGGGGTTTATTCCTCTTCCGGGCCGTACGAGAGCTGAGCAAGCAATCAAGTGAGTCTCGATCCCCCGAAACCCCAGAGAAAAATAAGCGCAGTGAATCCAATCGGGTCCTCAACCCAATCGCAGGTTCGGCCGCGCCTAGCTGCTCGGGATGGAGGAAGGTGGGAGCTGCCGGGCGGCCGTCCTCCCGGACGAGCTCATCGTCGACATCCTCGCGCGGCTGCCGGCCAAGTCGCTTTGCCGCTGCAAGTGCGTGTCGTGGGCCTGGCGGACCCTCATCTCCGATCCGGACCACCGCGGCAGGTTCGCGCAGACGCTGTCGGGGCTCTTCTTCTCCCGTCACCGCGGCAGCCACCCGCCCTGGCCCCGTGGATTCGTCGGCCTGCCCACGTCTCCGCCTGGGGTCGATACGGCTCTCTCCTTCCTGCCCCCCACCTGCTGGGACATGGATCTGCTGGACTCTTGCAATGGGTCGCTCCTCTTGCGGTGCCAGGACACAAGGGAACGGCCTTCACCACCGCCCTTCTACGTCGTGTGCAATCTGGCCACCGGGGAGTGGGTTGCAGTGCCCCAACCGAGGCACACCCAGGGGCTGTACGGTCCACCGGATACCGCGTCCTCCCCTTCCGGTCGCTGCTCCCCCATCCCGGGCGGCGCGCGCGAGGTCCGGCTCCTCCCCTTCTGGCCGCGCGAGCTCCTAGGTCCGGCGAGGTGCCACCATGTTCGTCGCCGGCGGGGGAAGCTGGCTCGCCGGTACCGGCAGCGCCGCGCACGAAGAGACGCGGCGCAGCTCGTCTGTGGCCGGGGATGCGCGTCCTCCACCGGCGAGGAAGCAGAGGAGGCACGGGGCCGCCATGTTCGTCGCCGGCGCCGAGGAGGCCGTGCTCCTGCGCGTGCTCCAGGTGCCGCCATGTTCGTCGCCGGCGTCGGGCGCGGCCGTGGACCTACAGGCCGTGGCCCCGGCTGCCTCGCCCCCAACTTCCCCTATGTCCTGTTAGCTGCCGCCATGGACCCCATCGTCGGCCATGGCGGAGCTCGAGCCAGTAAGGATAGAGAAAGAAGAAATAGACGGGGACAAAAATGTAATTTTCTGTGACCGATTTAGGCTGTCCAGTCGAGTTGACACATCACGTCAGCAAAAATAATAAAAATATATTAAATGTATTTTTTAATAATAAATATGTAGAAGCAATTATAAAGTCCGAAGAGGTCCCTTACAAGTTACCGCGATAAAAAGTTAAATATTCCGGAGAGAGAAGGGAAAGAGGCTGGTTTTTTTTTTTTTTTTTTTTTGTCGAGATGGGCTGGGGTCGGGACTCGGGAGAAGCCGAGAAGACTCTGGAGAGACACGGTAGACGGAGGGAGGTAAACTGGCCGGTGGAGGTAATGGGAGCCGCGAGATGAAGATCGGACGGACCAAAATTTTTTGGGCGACGTGGCCTAGGTGGCCTGCCGGGGTTAACCTTGCGTTTGTAGGGGCTAATAGCGCGCTAGCATAACTAACCTGGATTTTGACATTAAATAAGCTGCCGACACACAACGAGCAAAAGCATGTAAAGCATACGAGTATGTGCCACTTGATATGCAGGATGCTGGATGCCTGAACAGGGCCGCACCCCGCACACGCCAACAAGATATGATAGCCGCGAGACGTACGTGAAGAACCGTTGTTGCGTCCCCATCAGCCTCGGCCGGCCGCATCCTAGCTTGACGCCACTGGCATCGCACAGCGCCCGTTCGGCCATTGATTGGAATGTTCGAATTCTTTCGCGTATATATATATATATATATATTCATTCACGAGTATACAATCAGCTACTACCTGCTCGCATTTAGAATCTTAGACAACGATAGACCTAATCTAACGCGAGGAGAAGGGCCTTGAGTCCTTGACGACCGTCCGGCGTCTGCAGGCATTAACAATCTTTCAAAGAATAATCAAACAAAATAAATAAACACCATGTCCATTAAGCATGCATGTATATGTCATGCAGGATAATGTTTCGTCGAGTATATCAATGTAGCAGTATACTAGTAGTACTATCATGATATCATCCTAGCTCATCCGGGTAAAAGCTTGACAAGTGCAAGGACAACTCAATCATCACAGGCCCGGTGAGAGAGTGCGGTGCGGCAGGCATCAAGCATCATCAACCGGTACGTAGTGTGCCCAATCAATTGCACGCAGCTTCAGAAACAAAAATAAAAGCAGACCTAATCATGGCGCCCGTTTTATCGGAGAAAGGACCCGTCAGAAAGATGCCGTGCCTTGAGTCAAGGACATGCGGCCTGTTCGCTGGTTACTGGTACGTGAGCTGGTTTGGACTGTTGATTGGCTGGTTTAATTAGCTGAAACCAATAAATGAATAGGCTGATTACGTTTAATTTCTATCCCAGTTTTATTTATAGGTTATGACTTGCTAATCATGACACTGACGGGCTAGCTACTGGCAAAATTCGCATCCAGCTCGCTCTACCTCTACTCTACTACTAGTGTTGCTGTACCGGCAGTTTTCACGATACACAGCCATACGGAGCTCCGCACGGTACACTGACGACAGGGCGACAGCGATCGCTACAGTAGTCGGTGTATAGGTGTCAGTTTCTCTGTGATCTGTATATCCAGTCTCACCCAGGCAGGTGAACTGAAACTGTACCGTACATGTACCCAACTATCACGTAACTGAGCACCAGGAAAGAAATAAATACTTACACGAAAGCACTTCACTAATTCATTCACTTAATCTAAGTTTGTGGGTGCTAAGTGACAGGAACCCGTGCGGCTGAGCGGATTTCCACGGGAGACAGCAGCATCCGAGCAGAATCGGAAGAACCCGCAGGAAACTGTCGTGGCCGCCCGTCGGATTGGGTGGTTTGGCTTGGTCTGGAGATTGAGCAATTAAAAATCAGGACGCCTTGCCCCCGCTCCTCGTCTTTTGCCAAGACCCAAGAGATGCTAAAGGCGAAAAGTCAGTCCAACGACCGAAAGCTCTCTGTCTCTGCGCATACATCTTTCTTTAATTTTATTTTGCAGAATACTTATGCCTGAAGTTACTGGTGGGAGAAGGGAAGTAAGACTGTCTCCAACAGAAATAACCCAAACACGATACCAATTCAGTAGTATATGTCACCTACAGTAAAAGGGTCACGGACCCAATCTTGTCTTCTCCGACAGACCTTGACCCAAATCCACACCCATCCCTCACCCACCGCCGCGCCCCTCCCTTCTCACCGTAGCTAGCCTGACGCCCCTCCCTCCACACTCCCTCCCTCCCTCGAGCCCGGCGCCCCTCCCTTGTCTCCGGTGGGTGGCGGGCCTGCCACAGCAGCCCAGTGAGCCAGCACACGCTCCTCCCTCCCTCCCTCGTCATGAGCACGGCGCCCCCAAATTTCGTGCCCCTCCCTCCCTCGTCGCAGGCCCTTCCTTCTGTCTCCGGCACAAGGTGTGGCCAAGGCGGCGAAGCATGGTGCGCGGCCCGCACTAGCGACCCCTCTTTCTCCTCCGACGGCTCCCCAGCGGATCTAGGCCGCGCCTCTCCTCCGACCATGGCACGGCGATCCCTTCCTCTCCTCCGAGCATGGCGTCCGAGGGGCGGCGGATCCGGTCCAGGAGCGTGGCGCAGGGACGGGGCCTCCTCCCCCTGCTAGATCCGGTGGCGGTGTGGCGCGACCCCTTCCCCCTCCGCCTCCTTCCTCCGTCTCTCTCTCTCTGCTCTCGACCTCCTCTCTCTTTGCCTCTCTCTCTCTCCACGCGGCGGCGCCTCAGTCTACAGTGTTTTGCGTCGTCGAGAGAGATGACACGTTTTTGCCTTTCGATTCGCCCGCGAGGCAAAATGGATGCCTTGTTTGCGTCCTCCGTTGGAGCGTGATTTTGGGACGCAAAATACTGTGCACGATGGATTTTACGTTTGTGTCGCCGTTTGCCTGTGTTGTTGGAGACAGTCTATCAGGTGTTGGTTGTGGTTGTGCTTCTGCTGCAGCTGATAGTGTTCAGTAGCCTGTAGGTATCAGCAGGGGCCTGGGTATCAGCTATTCAGCTGAGGCTAGATGAAGTGCGTCTGAAGGGACACATTGGTTGGGTAAAGGAAGGCCATCAACACATCACACGGTGATGGTTTGCGATACTGATCGATCGGCTGCAGTGAGCACCGAAAACTACAGCACAGAGCTGCATAAAGGCGGGTCAGAGCGAGCGAGACGTCGATTCTTAGCGACTGCTGAACGATGATGATGGAACTAGAACTCGGATTATATATCGTCAATCGGCGGTCAATATGGGAATATTCGTTTTTTCGAGCCTACTCTCCCTTCTTCCGATCCTGATAGACTGACGAGTTTTTTTTTAACTAAAGATGCCCTGGGCCCTCCTCAGATTGAATAGGTTTGCCTGAAATGAACCTGAATAAACAGGCTGCATAAAGTAAGATCTACTTATTGAGTCTTGAAATCATACCCTAATACTCTACACCTTTTTTTTACAGATAAATTCATCATCAAGAAAGGATCGAAAGGGGGAAAAAAGGCATGATTTTGCAACAGAGAGATGGAGAACTAGGTGGTTTAGTAGTAGAAACAAGACACAGTAATAATAACCTGACCGAAATATCTCTGTTCATTCACATACCCCAGTATCATCATCTGCAGGCGGCGGATCGAGACGGATACACGAGGAGGAATGGAAGTACATCTCAGAGCCCGGAGGGATCGACGATACATAGATACAAACAGCGGAAACCAAAGAAGAAGAAAAGTCCAAAGAAAGCGGAATCACTACCCGCAGCAACAGCAGCGGAGCTGACGCGGCGGCGGTCTTGATCTACTAGAAGCCCCGGCAGAGGCGGAACCTGTCGCCCCACGGCCGCGGCCGCGGCCGGAACCGGCTTGGCCGCCTGGGCGCGGGCGGCGGCGCCGTGGTGCGGCTCAGCATCTCCCACATCACGTGCACGTCCTCGTACTCGCACGTGCTCACCTCCTGCCGCAGCCTCCACAGCCCTGCAAGCAACCAGCGACGGGGTCAGTCAGGCCAGCGCAGCGCAGCCGAGGGATCGTACGAGAGCCGCCGCCGACGTCGAGCCGCCTCGCGCCGCCGCCGTGCCGTACATACCGGTTTGGCGAACACCGAAGCGGGACGCGACGCCGAGCCAGGCCCGCCGCACCGGCAGCACGACGCGGTCCCACCAGTAGCCCATCGATTCGCCGACTCAAGGCAGTCAGTCGCCGGTGGGACTTGCGCCGCAGGAGAAAGTACGGGACTACCCTCAGCCTCCTCGGCCGCCTCCCTCTCGCTTCCTTCCCCTCGCTAATCAGTAGCTAGACCGGGGTCCGGTCGGTCGTCTCCTCTCTCTCCCCCTCTCCCCCTATTTGTACGCGCGGGAGAGAAGGAGAACCGCGAGGCACCGATGCTCGCACTCAAGAGACACTGACGCGGGGGCCCGGTCGCGAGTGGTGCGTGGGGGCACGGGCGTCAGTCGGGCTGGTGGGTAGGGTGGTCGCGGGCAGTTAGTTAACGGGGGGCGGCGGGCACGTGCCGGGAGGCGGTAGGCGGCGTCGCACACGTCGGCGCGAGCTCCTGATAAAGCGGGGCCCAGATGGGATTCATGGGCGCGGCGGCTGTGTGGCGGAAGCGGTTGAGTGGTGGTTGCGGGGGTCTGTCCGTGGAAGGAGTGTTAGGTCATCCGCGCGAGCTGTTGTGTTGGGGTGGGCCCAGAAGCCTGACGCTGCTTAAATTCTCGACTCTGTTTCCAAATTCCTCCATGTCTTTTTTACGAATATACTCCCTCCATCCCAAATTGCAAGACGTTTGACTTTTTGTGCCTCAAGTTTGACCATTCGTCTTATTCAAAAAATTTGTGCAAATATAGTCAAATTTAAGTCATTCTTGAAGAATTTTTATTAAAAAACCAAACCACGACGAAAGAAGTGATATTTTACATAAATTTTTGAATAAGACGAGTGGTCAAACTTGGTGTCAAAAAAGTCAAACGTCTTATAATTTAGGATGGATTGAGTATAATCTAAGTCCGTTGGGTCCACTCAAAAAAAAAATCTAAGTCCGTTGGGTCCACTAAAAAAAAATCATCGGTGGTAAAAAATTTAGAAGTTTCCGAGCAAGTTGGATGCCTAAAACCACAGCCTCTACATGCGATAACACGACACCTCGATAAGTTTCGTGATTTTCGGACTTCGTTTGTATTTTATATAATTAAAAAACACTTTTTTAACAAATTGGTGGTCATGTTTCGTGAAACAGATGTTCAAAATTTTATGAATGTCCCTGCACACGGCCTCAAAATACACTCAAAAACATGAATACCATTTTTTGAATCGCTAAATTCCAATATTTCATGCACCTGCAGTTCAAATTTACTTTTTCGAGAAAAATTCAAGTAAACATAAAAATTTTAAAAAATATACCAAAAAGTCATAGAAAAGTTCCAAATTGGAACATGTGCTTCAAGGTACTGTATAAATGCCACAAAAAATTTGAAAACAAAAAAAATACTTTGCCGAAAGTGTCTGGAATTGGCACTCGGCAAAGAATCTTTTTGTTAAAGTGCCGGTTTGCAAAGACTCGGCAAAAGAATATTCAAAATTTTTTTATCTTCGGATTAAAAGAACCCCCTGATTTCTTTTACCGAGTGCCCCGATCTCTCGGCACTCGGCAAAGGGTCACGCCCCACTTAACCCTAGCGGGCGGGCCGGCCCAGCCTCCCCTCTCTCCCCACTCTCCTCTCACACCACGCACGCCCCACCACTCACCACATTGCGGACCACCATGGCCACCGGACCTCCATGCCACCCGGCCGCCTCGTCTGCCTTCCCACCTACTGGTGGTGCGCCGCCCGCCTCCCTGGCCGCCTCGACCTCCACTGCGGTGGCCCCGCCTGCCCCGCCTCCATCACGGGACGCGACCACGGTGGTGCCTTGCCTGGCTACCCCGCCCACTGAACCACGGAGTGGAGGAGAGGAGCAGGGGAGTAGAGGAGAGAAGGGAGGTGGAGGAGAGAGAAGGAAGAAGGAAGAAGGAGAAGGGAGGAGGAAGGAGAAGGGAGGAGGAGCCTCGACCGTCGGCCACGCCCCTCATCGTTCGTCCTCGCCCCTCGTTGGAGACGAAGGTGACCCTAGCACCGCGTCGCCTGACTCCACCGCCACCCAAGGTATAAAGCCCCCCGGTTGTCGGCCTTCGTGCCTTGTATGTCATTGACGGCCTTCGTGCCATATGTGGATGTGTGGGCCTTCGTGCCGTACGTGGATGTGTGGGCCTTCGTGTCGTATATATGCTGTCGGCCATCGTGCCAGCTTTTTTCTTGCAGATTTTGGAAACCTCCCCGTACAGGGGAGGTTCTGCCGAAATTTTTAACTTATAGTATTATAATTCTTCTTTTATAGAGCAGGACCCGTCAGAGGGGACCCGGAGTACGTCGGCGACCCTGATCGTCTTCGCCGTACAACATGGTCCTGCGCTTCAGACAGCTTGCCTCGCCATCGCCTTCCCTTAGCCTAACTCCACCGCCACCCTAGGTATAAATAACCTCTCTTCCTTATCGTTGTCGTAGATCGGTGTAACCCAGTTAGGCGTCTCCCGTTCAAAATAGATACGGTTGGAGGTATGCGAGATCTTCGCATATCTAAGACCGTGATCTGCTTTTGATTGTCCACTTTTTGGATATCCATGGATCGTGAGATGTGGTAGTTTCCATATTACGCTTCGATCCGAGATAGAGTTTCATCACCTCCTCCTGTTGTTCTCCGAGATACACTCTCTCTCTTCCGGGACGTGTATCGGGAGAACAATGAGAGGTGTCACCAAATTTATCTCGGATCGGAGTAGAGCATGTAAACTAACCTCATCTACGATCTCATGGGTGGGATTAGGACCTATCCTCACCCATTAGACAGTAGGCACGCCATTCAGATGCAATTGGTGGTTATATTACTCGCTCATGTATATGCTAGAGGATGGATAACCATGAGTGGATGTACACGGGCTACCTAAGTCAGGCTGAAATCACCCCTGAATGGATGGACAAGACCGAGGGTTTCTTGAACCAAGCATTTGGCAAGGCAGCTAATGGAGCGAGAGACACATTTTGTCCCTGTAGCGAATGCGGAAACTGGAAAAGAAAAACAAGGAAGATCATGGGGAAACATCTTTGCAAATATGGATTTACGCCAAACTATACCCGGTGGGTGTTCCATGGTGAAGCCCATCGTACTAGAGAGGAGGTGGTGAGACCACGCCTGGAGGCGTTTGATGCTGATGGCGGGGTAGCAGGATGGTTAGGTGACTTTCACGAAGCAACGTTCGCTGAAAGACCTACGGAGGAGGAGGAGGAGAAGGAGGATGAGGAGGAGGAGCCAGAGCCAACCGGAAAGGCGTTCTACCAAATGTTGTCTTCGGCACAGAAGCTCCTACACGAGAAGGCAACGGTTTCTCAACTGAATCCCATTGGACACCTAATGGGGTTGAAGTCCTAGTACAACATGAGTCGAGCCTACTTCGATGGTATGTTGGCAGTTATTGGTGGGCTGCTTCCGAAGGGTCATATTCTGCCGAGCAGATGCTAGGTGTACATCACCATCAGGGCAGCCGCAGCCTGAGCAAATATGCAAAGGCATATGTAAGTCTCCGCCATTGCTCTAATCTAGTCGTGCTCAATTCTGCATCATTTCTAACCATATGTTGTTGTCTTTCTCGTAGTCGGATGCACACGGTGGCTAGCCAGTTGGTCAACTCAAGGCATATGCTCTGGCTCACATGGGCAAGGCAACGTCCGACATCGAGTACGATCCAGATGCCCCACTTGAGGCGTACACCAACTCCAGCGTCCACACCCGCCTATCTTCGTACACGGAGGCGGCAAGGTCAGTCCATGGGTCGGGCTACGATCCGAGAACCGAGGAGCGCCTTGATCCTCAACTCGTGATGAGGGTGGGGCAAGGCAAGAAGCATGGGCGGTTCTGGATTGGCGACGATGTCCTCGACACGGCCTCTACTCCTCTTCACCAGCTTCGAGCAGCGAGCACAAGCTCAAGCGTGCCCATACGCCAACGGTCGACCGCGGTGTCGGCACTCCAGGTAAGCATTCCTGTTTCATTCGTCGTTCTTTGACTTTTACATACCTTACCTATGCATTATTGAAACATTGGGGTCAAATGCTGCAGACCCTGGTGCAGGAACTACAGGTCGAGCGGGAGGCCGAGCGGCAGAGGCTACAGGCTTTGGAGGCCCAGTGGGAGCAAGATCAGCGACAGATGGCCGAGATGATCAAGTTCATGCAGCAAATTGGCTAGCAACAAGGTTGGGCGATCCCACAGACGCTGCTTGCTCTAGATCCACCTCCACAACGTCCTGATTCTACCCCAATGAGTATAAGTACGAAGTTTTACTTTCTATGCTGAAACTTAGAGAAACCTAGTGAAACCTAGAGAAACCTGGTGGTGGTGGTGTGGTGGTCATGGTGGTGGTGGTGGTGTGGTGTTGGTGGTGGTGGTCACGATGTTGTGGTGCTCATGGTGGTGGTGGTGTGGTGGTTGTGGTGGTGAAGTGTTGGTGGTGAAGTGTTGGTGATGGCGGTGATGTGGTGGTGGTGGTGGTGGCGGATATTTATCTTGCATATTTATCTCTTCTCTTGTCGCTCACGTGCAATCTCTTCTATTTTGTGCAAAGATCAATCGGGGCGACGTCCGAACCACCTCGAAGGGTCGCCAGATCGCACGTTGGGCCATCCCAACCCGGACCGTCGCCGCCGTGAGCTTCAAATGGCAAATGCCGTTGTGATATAATGCACTTGTGAACTTTGTGAACTATGCTTGTGTGTTTGGACTTTGGACTTGGGAGTCGAGATTGTGATACTTGTATGCTATGTTTGTGTTTGTGGTGGATTGTGATATACATTTGTGTGATATATAGTTGTGTTATATATATATATGATGCATATCTTGTTTGCAACGATGGAAGACTAAAAACCAAAAAAATTTTGAAAATTTTCACTTCTTTGCCGACTGTCATGGACTCGGCAAAGCTGGGAATCTAGGACACTAAGGGGGTGTTTGGGACTGCTCCACAAACTCTGCTCCACAAACTCCACCGTGGAGCAGCTCCACAAAAAACTGGAGTTTGTGGAGTACCTCTTTAGGTGCTCTCACAACTCCACCCTTTTTCCTGGAGCAGAGTACGTGGAGCTAA